GCTAACTTTGTTTACCTGACTCAGAAAGTGTAGGTGGCTGGCCCTGGGTCACACAAGTTGTGGTGGATCCCAGCCTGTCTGACTCCTCAGCGAAGGAAGCTGGGTCTTAACCCCTGTCATCCTGTGTCCTTATTGTTCAGCTCATAGACCAGGGGCCCAGAAAGGGGACTCCCGGGCTTGGCTTCCCAGCAGGCAGACAAGCCAAGGTTGGGAAGCCTCTCACCAGGTCCAGCTGTGTCTGGCCCAACTGTGAGGCAGTGACTAAGGCTTCCAGCTCCTGCCTCCGGCTGACAGGCACCCTCATCCGCTCCAGACATCAAGACCTTGTCGAGGGCAGGCTGCAGGGTCATCTAAAGGGCAACCTGAGACTATGGTATCTGAAGAGCCCAAAGAGCTTCAATTCTGTCCTTTCTTCCTTGTGTCTAAACTCATTCCTTCTGCTGTAAAGCTGACCTCACAGTTGTCACCTGAGCTGAGGGAAGGAAATGGGCAGAGGTTGTCCCCTCAGAAGGGTTGTCCCCTTCACCTCAGAGGTGAAGGCTTTGGTGTTCTTGCTGATGGTGAACCTGGAGTGGAGGTTACGATTCTCCAGGGCCTCTACCTCAAAGGGACAGGGTTCAGTTCTGGCCTTAGCACCGCAGCCTATGTTCCCCTGGCTCCTGTGAGCCTCGTGGGCCAGGGTGAGACTCTGAGTACAGGGCTGAAGCTTGTCTGGGAGGGGAACTGAGGAGAAAGGCTGAGGAGTAGTCAAAGAAACTGAGGCTGGGAAGCCAGTCCTGGGACACCTCCCAGAGAGGCGGCCCTATTGTGAACCAACAGCTGCCCACTGGCACCACCTCATGGCCACAGGTCCTCAGTGCAGGGAGGACTCCAGTTCCAGTGGCAGCAAGTGAAACCATTCAGATGTCTAACCCAGATCCACCTGTGGGCTGACACCCCCAGGAAGCCTTCAGAGCTGCTCCCATTCCTGGGATAGACAGTGACCTACTCTGGTGGCGGTGGCCATCCTGGAGACCAACAAAGGCCTGGCTGCCAGGCAGGAGGGCACCTTGCCCACTTTGCCCTCCAGGGCCCTAGTGCAGCTCAAATCAGGCAAGGGAGGCCCGTGCCCTCACCGGGCACAAGCAAACTCCTGGGATAGACCTGAGGAAACAATAGGTGCTCAATTTGTACACAACTAACTGACCAGGGATTTACCAGCAGTTCAAACTGAACTTTCTCAGTTTGGTCCAAGCCTTAGGATCCTGCCTCTAAAATGGGTTTGGGTTGAGATCAGTGCTCTGATTGCTCCTGGGTTCCAGGAGAGTCCTTGCTCCCTGTGGCCATCATCCCCTCACCATGCTGGCACCCAGTGTGACCACATTCTACCAAAATGGCTCAGAGGGAACCTGGGCCTCTATCTCCTGGTTTCATGTTCTTTCCCTGCACCACCCCCTCCCCACCTGGTTGACTCAAAAGCAAATCCTCCCTCCACTGAGTCACTCTTCTTCAATGCTGTCTCCACCCTGGAGCCAGCCTCTTGGGGACAGTGAGGAGACACCTCTCTCCCTCTGATCGTCCTAACAGCTCCAACACCTGATTTCGTGGTGAGGAGGGGTCAGGGAGGACTTGGCGCAGGCAGGAAGAATGTCACTCAGGTGAAGTCTCGAGAACACCCCCTACACATTCCTCATGAGCTCTGGCCCTGCCCTGGGGAAGGGGCAGTGGTTGCTAACTAGGAAATGTGGAAGGGGTCGATGACATACAGTAGGTGCTCAATAAATATGGAGAAAAGGAATAAGGAGAACAGGAGAAGGGGCCTATGTAGTGAGAACCCAAGTGGATTGCCACATAAAGAGATGGGGAGAAGGATGTACTGGTAGATGAGCTATGGAATGAAGGAAGGAAGGAAGGGAGTTGAGTGACTGGGAAAATGAACAGGGGCTCTGGATGTTATCCTCACATGACTGATGAGCAGACAGAGAGGGCTGAGGAGAAAGAAAACGGCTGGGGCTGCGGGGCTGGCCTTTGACCTCCTCTGGTCCTCCCTGCTCCTTCATTCCTGCCTTTCCATTGCCTGGGTGGAGATGAGGTTCCAGGAAAGACGCCCTTTCTCTGCCTTTTCTCCGCCTCCTCATTCCTCTAGGCCCAGTTTCCGCCAGACTGAGGTGTTGGGGGTGGCAGGGAGGAGGGGGCCCCTGCAGAGACTATTTCAGTCAGAGACAGCTCTGCCAGGAAACAGAGGAAACTGTCTGCCTGTCCATGACTGGAGTGTTGCCTGAGGGCAGGAGCATGGGGAGCCTCGGTCCTGGCTTCCCTTTACCCTAACACACTTGGGCCCACCGACCTGCTGCAGGGACAGGAGGCTGCATGTGAGTGTCTCTGCATCTCGGGGCCAGTATGGGGTGGGGTGGAGTAGGTGGCTGGACACAAGGAGCTGTGACTGGACAGCAGGCTGGGTCCAGCACTGACCTAAAAGAGCCCAAAGAGTTTGAGGCCCTGGCTCCCAGCTAGGGGATCAGAAAAGGAAGAAAGATGGGGTCAGGAGCTTGGTGGACACACAAGGTCTGACAATGGAGATGATGCTGAATGGCACTGTGTGAAGGGAGCAGCAGCAATGGGGAGGCTGGAGAGGGCATCTTCATCTCTGGCTGCTAGCTCCATGTGGCCACCTTGGTGTCTTGGAAGCAGTATGATGAGAGAGAAAAGGCAACAGCGCAGGCAGAGTGGAGTGGACCTGGCATCCTTGCGATGAGGCTGGAGGGCTGGGCAGGGGCCTTGAACATCAGGAACAGGGCTTGGGCATTTCTCCAAAGGCAGAGAACAGGGGGAAGGATGTGGTCAGAGCCACTGAGCCTCCTGAGAGCCTGGTGTCTGAGCTGGTTCAGGACTTAGGGCCCAAGAGTAGGTGATGGATGTGAGAGTGGCCAGCTGATGCTCAGGGGTGGGGCCAAGCAAGCCCTCCCTAGGGCAGCCCCTGCCAGGAGCTACGATAACAACTCAGACTCCAGGGTCCTCAGAAGGCACAGGGGATGGGGAGCCAGCCTGGTGTCATGGCCCAGTCCTGAGGTGTGCCCAGTGGATAGGCAGGCAACTCAAGGATCCCCTCCTGCAGCCCCTGCCTCCTTCCAATGGCCAGGGGAGGGCTTCCCGGAAGGACCAGGCTTGCCAGGGAGCAGGAGAGGCAGAAAACAGAGGCCTCCCAAAGGAAGGTTTAGGGACACTGCACCCTTCCACCCACACCAGTCTCCTCTCAGACCCTGCCTACCCCACCTCCCTCCCTACCTGGTGTTTCCTCACACCTTTCTCTACCCTTGCAATCTTCCTCTGAAAAGTCCCTTGCATCCTGTGGCTCACACTGGCCTCCCCTTGGCCTGACATGCATGTGTGTACCTGTAACCAGCACCTACATCTACAGGCTGCCCTGTGGCCTCAGGTGTCCAGCAGGCAGCAAGGAGATGTCTGGTGGAAATGGGAATGAACACGGTGAATGAAAGTACAGCCTGAGCGAATGAATGTGGAGGTGCACGAGTGACCTTCCTCCTGCCTGCTCCCATCTTGGCACCCCAGATACACTGCAGGGGCCCCTGGACCTCTCCCCTGCTCCCGCCATAACCAGCCACCTCATCTCAGCTGGACACACAGTGTCCTTGCATCAGGCTGGAAGTACATCAGGAATCTTTGATAACTAAAGGCAATGTGAGGTGTGGGGTGCAGACAGAGACTCCAAACCTTATCATTTTGCCCAGAATTTGGATAAAATAATTTCATTAAAATAAAATTTTAGATTGGAAAGAACATTTTTTTCCTCTAATATAACTTTTTTAAAAATTCTATAGCCTTACTTAGCAGTTATATACACAGTTAAGAACAGCTAACACTTGGCCTTGTGGCTGGCACTGTCTTCACAACAGCCTTATAACAGGCACTATAGTAACCCATTTTACAGACAGGGAAACTGAGGTACAGGGGTAGTGATATACCCAAGGCCACACAGCTCACATGTGGCAGGACTGGACATATGGATCCACATCTATATACTTGGCCTCAACCCTTTTCTACCCTTTGAGTGCATTTTCACAATTTTTCTGGGCCTCAGTTTTTCCCATCTGTAAAATAGGGAGAGAGTAGGATTGGAATCATTATCCCCTTTGTCCTAGAGGTCCACTGGGTTGACACTAAATTCTAGGTATCACTGATATGGAAATGCCCCTATCCAGGAGTATTTAGAAGATTCAGGAGTCAGACTTAAGGCATTTTACTGTTGGATCCCCTAAAACTCAGCCTGGGTTAATGAGAGGTGGGGCAGGTATCAGATGTAATGGCATGGTATTACTTGAGCACCTACTGAAGGTCAGGCCTGTGACACATTTTACTGTTGAGGACACAGGCAGAAAAGCAGTTGACATGGCCTGGGCTGCTCAGCATGGCAGTGGGGCAGCCAGTATTGGACCCAGGGCTGCCTAGCTCTGAAGCTGCCCTTGTAAGCTCTACATCTGTGTCTGTGGGCTACACTAAGCTGCCCTCTGAATCAGGTGATTGGGTTCTGGTCCTGACTCTGCTTCTAACTCACTAAGATCTGGCAGTCCTGGCACCTCACTGTAGATTTCCATCTCTGTAAAGCTGTGGGACCTGGCGTGTGGTGCATGCCTGAAACCCTAGCACTTGGGAGGCTGAGGCAGAAGGATTGCCATGAGTTTGAGGCCAGCCTGGGCTACACAGTCAGACCCTGTCTCAAATAAACAACATAAAGCTGGGGATTTAGCTCAGTGGTTTCGCCACCTGCTGCGCAAGCGCAAGGACCCGAGTTTGATTCCTGGTACCAAAAGGAAAAAACAACAACATAAAGCTGTGGGCTTTGTCCCTCCCTTTTGCCCTTTGAGACGCTATTTTCACTATGGCCACCAGGGGGCACCGTGGAGGAGCATGGCCCTGCTACACTGCTGTGGTAGCTTCTGGTCACTTGGAAACAGGTCCTGGGGAACTATCAAGTCACCTCCCCTCCTTGTCCTTTTTTACAGATAACAAGGCTGTGGCCAGAAAAAGAACCATGGCTTTGGAAGGTGATGTTCAGGCTGCTGAAGTGGGAGCTGCCTTCAGTGAGCTCATGGTGTGTGGACCATTTATATGGGCTGAGGTACCAGGAATCCCTTGGCCCTGCACCCGAGGCCTGGCTGTGAGACACAGAGAAGCACCAAATTTACTACTTTTTCTCAGGAGGTCCTCAGTCTATGAAAGACAGGCAGACCAACCATGACCATAATTTCCATTTCCCATCCCCGCCTCCCAGGGAGCTCAGGAGAAGCTCTCCATAGCTTGTTGTAGTGCTTCTAATCGCATGACATCCCTGAGAGGTGGATGCCACATTCCCCCATTTCTCAGATGGGGAAATTGAAACTCAGAGAAAGTAGATCACTACCCCTGGGTCACATAACTAGTAAGCAGCAGAGATAAGATTCAAACCCAAGTCCATCTACTTTCACTAACACAGGAGACATCTGACCAGAGTTTTAAAGGATGAATAGAAGTTTACTAGGAATGCTGATAGAAAATGCATTCTATAGAACAAAAGCGAGTCAAATCTCTCCCAAAGTTGAGCTTTATTTATTCCAAGTTTCCTTGAAATTAGAGCTGTGTGAGGCCTCCATGGCACAGCAAGTATAAGAGATGACAAAATTGATGCCCCAGTTGTTCAGCTAGGGAGACGAGGGCCCAGAAAGGAGTAGGGCCTGCTTACAGTGGTCAATGAGCATGTCACTAACAGGCTGTGTATTGTTTCCCCAGCCTCCCTGGATGTAGGAAGCCCAGTTGGGCAGTCATGGAGTGGGACAATAACACAATCCAGGGCTTGAGCTTGCCACCCACTACCTGTGTCTACCATGAGGACTTCAAGCGTCTGCTGCTGCCCCCTGTGTACTCAGTGGTGCTGGTAGCCGGCCTGCCATTGAACGTCTGCGTCATTGTCCAAATCTACACGTCCCGCCGGGCCTTTACCCGCACAGCCGTGTATACATTAAACCTGGCCCTGGCTGACCTTCTGTATGCCTGCTCCCTGCCCCTGCTCATCTATAACTATGCCCAACGGGACCATTGGCCCTTTGGGGACCTCATGTGTCGCCTAGTGCGCTTCGTCTTCTACGCCAACCTGCACGGCAGCATCTTCTTCCTCACCTGCATCAGCTTCCAGCGCTACCTGGGTATCTGCCACCCCCTAGCCCTCTGGCACAAGCGTGGGGGCCGCAGGGCTGCCTGGCTCGTGTGTGGAGCTGTGTGGCTGCTGGTGACAGCACAGTGCCTGCCCACAGCCATCTTTGCTGCCACAGGTATCCAGCGGAACCGCACCGTCTGCTATGACCTCAGCCCGCCAGCCCTAGCCGCCCGCTACCTGCCCTATGGCATGGCCCTCACGGTCACTGGCTTCCTGCTGCCCTGTGCAGCCCTTCTGGCTTGCTACTGTCGCCTGGCTCGCCGCCTGTGCCGCCAGGATGGCCCTGCAGGGCCTGTGGCCCAGGAGCGGCGGGGAAAGGCGGCTCGCATGGCTGTGGTTGTGGCAGCCGTCTTTGCCATCAGCTTCCTGCCTTTCCACGTCACCAAGACAGCCTACCTGGCGGTGCGCTCTATGTCAGGTGTGCCCTGTCCCATGCTGGAAGCCTTTGCTGCTGCCTACAAAGTCACACGGCCCTTCGCTAGTGCCAACAGTGTGCTGGACCCCATCCTCTTCTACTTCACCCAGAGGAAGTTCCGCCGGCGGCCACACGAGATAATACAGAAACTCACAGCCAAGTGGCAGCGGCGGCGGGGTGGCTGAGGCCCCCAGAGAAGGACCTGGGGCCTGGATGCTGTCATGTTTGCCATTGTGGCCAGGGTGCCCCACCAACCCCAAACCATGCACAGAATTAAAATTCAGCTCAGCTGGGTATGCAGCTGAGGTCCCAAACCTCATCAACTATTTATTGAGCCCTTTCTCACAACCAGGGCCTGGGCCAGGGATTTAGCTCCGTGGTTCTGCCACCTGCCTCACAAGCACAAGGTCCTGAGTTGGATTTCTGGTACCAAAAATAAAAAAAGACCAGGGCCTATGGGCACAGAGACCAATAGGCCTGAGCCTGGGTCTCCAAAGCTCTCAGTCAGCCAGAAAGAGTAAAGAAAACCATGTTAAGCTGGGCATGGCAGCACAAGCCTGTAATTCCAGCACCCTAGGAGGCTGAGGCAGGAGGATAGCAAATTCAAGCCCAGCTTGGGCAACTCAGAGACTTATGAGGCCCTGACTTAAAACTTAAAATAGGAAAAAAGGGCTGGGGATGTAACTTAGTGTGAAGGCCCTAGTTCAATCCCCAGTACAGTCAGACAGACAGAAAAAAAGAAAGCTACTCACAGAAGTATAGTGTGACTTGTACTGTAAAAGAGGCTTTGTACTATACTATACTTTGTACTATAATACATGCTTTGGAATCACCAATGAAGGGCATGAGGGAAGGTAGGAAAGGGAAGTGAGAGCCTCTAGGAAGGGGCATTTGAGCTGGATTTTGAGGGATGAATATGGGCTCTCTGGTGGGAAGTTGTGGTATTCCATTTATTTAGTAAGCCTTTACTAAGACCTTGCGCTCAAGCCTGTGTGGCTCTGAGGGAGGCCCTAGAAAAACCAGTTCTAGCCGGGCCCTATTCAGGCTTCCAAGAGCTAGAGGTATAGACACTGACACAGTGACATCAGAGCTGAGACTGAGGTATTAGGGCCCATCGGGTGCCTATGACCTTGTCCAGGGAGTGCAGGAAAGACGTCTTGGGGGAGGAGCCATCTGAAGCAGACGTCAGAGGCAAGTGCAGGCTCAGCAGACAGAGGTGGGGAGCACTTTGGTGCAGCCTGGGACAGCCTTCTGCTGGGCTCTTCCCTGGGCAAACAGGAGAGGGCTGGGGAGGAGGTGTGCAGCTTTCTGTGTGTGAAAGCTGAGGAGACCAGAGCTGTCCCGCACCCAGCCCCCAGACAAGGTGCTGCAGGTTATGGAGCTCAGCAGAGGGAGGAATCTCAAACACCTAGCAGAAGCAGCAGCTCCTGGGGGATGGTATGGTGTATACCAAACCAGAGGGAGAAATAAGCCAAGCATGGCTGGGCAGCAATGAAGCCTGGGGGGCTAGGTGTGAAGAGGTGCCCAGAAAAGGAGCTGGGTAGGGCCAGAGCATTCATTGCTAGGAAGAGTCCAGACCCCACCTCTGCTGCATCTGCCTCTTCCAAGCTGGGTGGATTCTCGGAGCCTGGGGCACCTCCACCAGGCCCCCAAGAGGGGGAAAGAGCCTTCAACACTGCTTCACTTTAAAAGAAGCTGACAGCTTGAGGAGACACAGGGCCACCAGGAGGCTGTTCAGGAAGGTCCCATGACTGGAAGCCCAAAGTCTCAGGGCAGTGTCCTGGCTATGTTCCACCCTGCCCTTTCAGGTCCCTCATTCCAACCTGTGGGTATCCAGAAGGAGGCCTTGGCCAGCTCCCAGAGAGCCATCTCAAACTCAGATCTGAGCAGCGCCAAGCTGGGTAAAGACATCGTTACTAAAGGTCACAAAGGTCTCTTGAGCAAGCAGCAAAGAGGAATCACACCACCTCCGGGAGTCCTCTTCCCTGCTCTCCTCCAGGATGCCCCTGATCACCGCTCTGTGGCTGTTGTCCTCTCTGCTCTGGTTCCTTCCACCCAGCCAGCCCTGCCCCACTTCCCCTTACTTCTATAGCCCTCATTCCATCCTCTCTTCCAGGCCTGTTTTCCTCATGCTGGATGATCCGCCTGCCCTCGATGCTGGTACCCTACGCAGACCTGTAGTAAGCAAGAGAACTCACCAAGAGCCCTCCTTTCTAGAAGGCAGAGTGGGCAGAAGTGAGGGCAGAAGGACAGGGTGGAGGAGGGACTGTGAAAGGTATTAAGGACCTCTCTTCTAGCCCTTCTCAATCCTCACGGCTGCCTGCAATAGAAGCATCCAAAGAGGGGCTCTGGAGAGTTAAACTCCCTAACGTGTCAGGGGCATTTGCAGCTGGAGGAGAAAAAGAGAAAACCGGGCCCAATTCTCCTTGGGATCCACTCAGTGTCCTTGCTGGAGAGGCTGGTGGTGCGGACAGAAGGAACTTGAATTCTCTGGGTCACAGTGAGATAGATGTGTGGGGGCAATGGAAGACAAGCTGCTTCTGATTCCCTGCTGGATGCAAGCCCGTGCCAAGCAGGACAGACGTTACCCACCTTGCATCGCCTGTGCAGGGGCAGCAGGGGAAACCACAAGCAGAAGACAGAGGCCTCTGTCCACAGCCCAGCCAAGCCCTGTAGAGAGTCTCAGATGACTGACCCACCTGACTAAGAGCTGTGACTCTTTAGTTACTTTCTTGGAGTGGGAATTGTGGGTCACAGGTAAATTGCTTTCCTGGCTTCCCTCTGCAAGGCAGAGTTGAATAGAGGGTACAGACTCCACAGCCAGGCTACCTGTGTGTTTATCCTGGCTTTACACTAGCTGTGTTACTCTGGAAAAGTTATTTAATAACCTCTTTGTTCCTCAGTCTCCCCAGCTGAACAATGGAAATAATGATCCCTGTCTTGTAAAAGTGGTTGTGAAGATTAAATTAATATGTGCAAAACAGTACCAGGAACAGTGTTTACAACACAGTAAGCAAGGTGTGAAAGTTACTATTGGTAATTATTTTGCCTTCTTGGAATACAAGTTGCCCCAGGACCTATGGAATAGGCATAGGGGGTATCTAAACAGGGGACTTTTCTTTTTTCCAGTACCTGGGATCGAACTCAGGACCTTGCACTTGCCAGGCAGGCTCAGTGCCACTCAGCTACATGCCAGGCCCTAAACAGGGGACTTTAAGCGGGGTGTTGTAACTGTTTCTTTTTCTCTCTTACCTGGGAGGCATAGGTCTTTAAAGAAAAAAGCTCATCACACTTCTTTTGAGAATAAGGACCAAAACCCACAATCCCCTTCTATTCCAATAGAAGGAAAAGCCATTTATTACATGCCAGTACCAAGGCCTCCAAGTGCTGTTTGGAGACTTCGAGTCCCTCTTTCTCTCTCCCTCCTTTTGTCCACTTCCTCCTCCCTACCCTCCTCACTTTAACCCAGAACATAGCAGTGATAAGTGGAGGTTGAGTCCTCACCCTGGGGATGCTCTGCTCCCTGGGGTGGGACACAGAGGGAACACAGACAGGAGTGAGAAGACAGTCTAGTGAGCTACCAGGGAATGATGTAGGTCCAGAGGAGTCCAAGGCAACTCTCCTGGATTTGGGATTGGGAAAGACTTCCTGGGGGATGGAGCAGGGCAAGTGGCCCCTGAAGGATGGATGTGATGAGGCTGAAGGAGAGAAGTTCCAGTGTAGGAGACATCACAGGCAAAGGCTGGGGGCTGTTGGAGGAAGTATAGAAGGGTCATAGCCTGAGCCTGACAGTGAACGGCTTGGGTGCCAGTCCACAGAAGTACCAAGGAGCCATGATAATGAGAGCAGGGGCCATTAACTGGGCTCTGTGGGTTTCAGGGACTGAGCAATGTGCTTTATACACATCTTTACAACTATCCCTTACAACACTTCCTACGATTAATAAGGTAGGAATTGATTTGCTAAAGTCACAAAGCCTTCCTCCAACCCATGTACTCAATCCCTCCACTTTACCTTTTCTCCCTTCCCTTCCTTGATCCTCCGTCCCAGTACCTACCTTCCCTGCCAAGTCCCAGTAACTGCGGCCTCCAAGAAGGCACAGCAGAGGCAGCTGGCTCCCAGCCACAATATTGGTTCTACCCTTTAGCTGGACACGTGGCCTCCTTGAATGAAAAGTTCACTTCCCAGTCTCTCTTGCAGCTAAGCACTCCAGGTCACTTCCTCCTGGCAATGGGGTATCAGCAAAATGCCCTAGGTACTTTAATATGGAGAGGGAGGAGTGTCTTTAAGATAGGCTGTGTCTTCCTGAACCCCAAAGCTTTCTTGTTTCTTACCAAGTGCAAGGAACAGCTGGGGCACTATCTTGAACCATTTGGGTAAGGGCCTTTTCTGTAGCTGGTAAAGCAAGAATCTGGAACCAGGGTGAGTCTCTAACCATTCTTGTTTTGGACTTCTGCACTGGAGAGAAATAAATGGCTTTTTGAAAAAGCTACTAGTTTTTCAGGCCTTTGCTAACCCACAGCCAAAACTAATCCCTTTAGTCAGGTTCTATCCTTAGCAGGTGGATGTAGGTGGAAGCCAGGCAGTGACCCAGACTGGGGTGGGAGTCAGGGTCTAGGTTGGGGGTGAAGCCTCACTCTGGTAGAGTTCAGAGCCAACAGACTGGAGATCTTCAGGAAGGCCGCTTAGAGAAGATGCAAAGCCTGGGGAGGAGTAAGGACCAATGTGGCCTGAGACTGAGGGGTGGACGGCATCCAGCCATCTCAGAGGAGAGGATGTAGAGGAGATGGGATGGGTAAAGAAGAAAGGAAGGTTGCAAGGAAGGCCAGGCTCAGGAAGTAACTTCCAAGATAAAGAACTCTGAGTGTTAGCTTCTGGCACTTGAGGATGGGGAAGCAGATGAGTGGGGTCAAGGACCAGGGAGCCAGACGATCAGCAAGCAGGTCTCATCTTGGAGAGATTTCCGCTCTAAGCAGAAAAAGCCCAGAGGCATAGGATCTGTCCTAGCAATGGTCGCAGCTGGCACCTTCCTCCCTCAGGCTTGTTAGCGAACATTCTCTGTGTGCTCTGAGCTGAGGCCAGACCCAGACTCTACCCTGGGAAAAAATCCAGGGGTTTTGCCTTTGAGGTGCAGACAAGGAAAGACTTCATTTAATAAACAATGATTGGTTGAGCACCTACTGTATGTATGCCAGGCGTCATGCTGGACAGTGGGTCCCTTTCCTCCAGGAGCTCAGTTTGATGGAGGAAATAGGCAATAATGAAATAAACACACATACCTGGATCATTACAGCTGGGAAGGAGTGCTAAGAAT